TTCTTTTTATGGCTGAGTAATATTCCATTGTACCGCATCTTCTTTATCCGTTCCTCTGTCAATGGACATTTAGGCTGCTTCCAACAAAACTTTATATATTTTTAAACAATTTTATATGTGAGACGTACTAAAGCTATTCTGGGATGAACAAACCATGGAATTTCCTCTTCCTCCCAGACCAATACAATTTTTTGAATTCTTGGCAGAGCATATAAACACAAAATGTGGATGTGATATATAAAATATACACCTTAGTATTGGGGGTTATAAAATCCATAATTTTATAATTAAGGGGACAATGAAAGGAAATGCAATGAGGGGGAATTATCATTTCTGTTAATACTTTCAGTTATGAAGGAGTGATATAACAGAAATATTCTGTGGCTAACTGTTGGCATTAACTTATGAAAACAGAAATTATTTCTTCTGCAACTATTTGTACATAATATTGTATGTCAATAAGCTGAAAAAAAAACTTTCCCGTTTATTTTTGGGCTTGAAAGTAAGGCGGTTTTTTGTTTTTTTTTATTCTCATGAGAAAATTTAAAAGGTAGGGAAAGAAGTAGGCTAGTTTTTGCTAGATTAGATTCAAGGATTGGGGTTTTACTGGAACTTTGTTTCAGTGAAATTTCTGTACCTGGGGCTCATCAAATCATCCCAAATACAATTGAAGAGTTTCACATAGATTTCTTTAACTTATTTTGATTTGACCCAACTGAGGCTCCATTTGGAAGGTTCTAAGTCTTGTTCTCTATTTTTCTGGACAAGTTCCACGAGGCAGGGATAGTTTTCTTGCTGTATCTCCAGTGCTGAGACAGTTCTAGACCTACACTAGGTGCATAGTAAATACCCATTAAATACTGAATGAAATAAATGGGTGTTGCTGTCAAGTGCATTTAACATGTTTCTGCCAATCCTCCCCCAGTGTGCATTTACCAAATGCTGGGAAGGTCCTGAGAGATTTTGATTTTAGTAATTTTAGCCACTAGGAACAAAGCAAGATTTGTCTCTGAAAGGATTTGTCTACAACTGTCTGCAGAGAAAACTTTCCTAAATCAGGCATGGCAAGCTGACCTATGAAGTGGATCTACTGTCTAACCCTTAGTCTTGAGATCATTTTAGTGACTGAGTTCAAAGGGAGAGTATGGACTGTGAACTTCCTAAGGTGCTGAGAGGAATAGAACTCAAGAGTCGAGGCTTTGAGTGAAGTAGGGGCTTACACACTAGTGGTTCCTCCAACTCCCCCTAAAGATTTTGTCAAGCTGCCAGCGATAAAATGAGGAGAGAATGGAAAATATGATTGTTTGTAGACCAGATTTTGAGCTATGTAGTAGCTCTCCTGTAAGCTTTAGGAATGGCGGTAAGATGGAGGGAGGTGTCTGTGGATGTCATTAACCCGAGGGGGACTTCATTAAATAAAACAATGCTAGATGATCCTTTGCCTCCTAAATTGGTATATTTACATTTTGCTTTTCAGAGGTGAGGGTAGCAGCATGAAGGGGCCTGTGACTGCTCTCAGAAGAGGCTTTCCCCTGTCATGGTGCTTTACAGGTTAGGTGTTTGTGAAAACCTGAAAGAGAATGGCTAAACAGAGGATAGTTAACCACCTTTTTGAGGCTGGTCCTGGGAGCTCTGCCACCTCTACTCGCACCTGGTAGGCACCTGCCAGCAAATTGACCTTCTTACTTGGCTGTTACCTCAAGAGCATTACTGTGGTGCCACACCCAACACAGGGATTCTGAACCCAGTCAAGTACAGAAAGGAGGGCATTTCTCATAAGGATCACATATTCATTTTGTTTCCTCTTGGCTTTTGAAATCTTTACACAGTAAATATATTACAAACCATATTCCACAAGTCGATTTGCAAAGATAAAATCTCTTATTCCTTTCTTATTATAATGCTGAGACAAATTACATTTAAACATCATGTACTTTAACTTACATCTCACATTTAACTGTACAAAAAGGCAAGTGAAACAGAACAATATTAGAATGTTAGTACTAGGAATAGCTTTGGAGATCAATTAGCCCAGCCCCGGCTTTTCAGATGAAATATATAAGGTCAGAAGTGAACAGAAATGCTCAGTAATACAAGTTAAGCAGTATAGTATTTTACCCATAATTAATAATGTGAAGAAAAAAAATGTTGCCTGCTATTCCAGTTCTGCAAGGATTAAGCCATTAGCTACTGCAGTTGCTCATGGACAGTGCACCCCGAGGGGAATTCAAGATGGAGAAAAACAGGAAGTACTTTGTGCTTTGGATTATATAGGCCCCTAGAGGGTTAAGATGCATATCTAAGGAAAAATATCTTTCATACTTAGAAAAGCAATAAAATCATTAACTTGAGATGTCTGTTCTTTGGGATTAGCAGTAATCTTTTGATGTTCAACTACATGTCTGCTTTTTTTTTCCAGCAAAAAATTCATGTATATCCTGACTGCTGCCTTACCTCCTCAGAGCCATTCCTCAGAGCTGAGAGACTGTTTCCTGGGCTGTAGTCCTCAGAAAGGTCACAGAATAAAACTTAACTCACAACTTTTACCTTGTGAGTTTTTCTTTCAGTGGACAGTATATACATTATTACATAGTATATATTTAATATATACATAATTTAAACACATATTTCCCATAGATAACTGATGTTTAGAGAAACACACAGATTTCTTGCAGTTAGAAAGTCACACACATCAAATATTTTTTAATCACATTGTTCACTGACATACTCCATTCTGGGGGGGAAAAAAAGAAATGAAAATTTTTTTCTTGTGATGGGAAATTTTGATTCTAAGAATGGTTGATTCCCAAGCAATTGATTTCTAGTTCTCCTTTAAAATTTACTTCCTCAGAAACCCAAGAAATAATAGAGATTGCTAAAATTTTAGCTAAGCAAAACATTGAGCAACTCTTCATATTTTCAGGGGCTACTTGTCTTTCTTTTTTGTTTTGTTGACGTAGGTGTGTGTCCTTTGCCTGTATTTTGTGAGATGAGCAGCGGTTGTCTTTGAATTTTTAAGTCTCAAGACATTTACCCTTTGCCTGTGATATAAGTTGCAATGTCTTCTTTCATTTTTCTTTGCTTATACTGTTTTATTTTTCTATCTTGTATGATTTTAAATTGAAAGTCACATTGATGTCCAGTTCACTCTTTATATTTATCAAGGTAAATGTGGAAGAATATACTTTAAAACCCAGAATTACACAGAAATTAGCAGTAGTCTTATACAAATCTATTGTTAAATATCCAGAAAGATTTGATATGTTTTAGAGATCATTAGAGTGGCTGATAATATTATACCAAATAAAGTTTTGATCTATAAGGATGTGGATGCATTAAAGATTCCAGGGCTACTTATTTAGAAGGTGTCAGTACGTGTTTATTGTAGGGGAATAAAATGTGCCACCTGGGCTACTTATTTAGAAGGTGTCAGTACGTGTTTATTGTAGGGGAATAAAATGTGCCACCTGGAAATGTGTCTCATTGGCATGAGGATTATTGGGCTGATTATTATTTTTTTTAAGTAAAGTTATTTATTTATTTTTGGCTGCATTGGATCTTCGTTGCTGCGTGCGGGCTTTCTCTAGTTACTGCGAGTGGGGGCTACTCTTCGTTGCGGTGCACGGGCTTCTCTTGTTGCGGAGCATGGGCTCTAAGCTCATCGGCTTCAGTAGCTGTGGCATGCAGGCTCAGTAGCTGTGGCTCGCGGGCTCTAGAGCACAGGCTCAGTAGTTGTGGTGCATGGGCTTAGTTGCTCCACGGCATGTGGGATCTTCCCGGACCAGGGCTCGAATCCATGTCCTCTGCGTTGGCAGGCAGATTCTTAACCACTGCACTACCAGGGAAGCCCTAGGCTGATTATTTTTAAGAAACAGAAAGCTCAGGAAGTTTTTTCTTGTTACCACCCTCTTAGCTGCTTAAAAAAGTTTAGATAAAGTGATTGTTCCAGGAATAGGACTATAACCAGAGATATGTGCAAACAATATGGGCTAAAGTGGTGGGAGCGGTGTGTGTGTGGGGGGAACTTGGCACGGCCTAGCGATCAGAGTCTACTCTGAGTCTCATTGTCTCTGCCTGGCCCAGCAAGCATTTTTCAAACATTTGTTTTTCCACCTCCATGTAAATTACCTTCCTCCCCTTTAAAGTCCCAAACCACTACCCCCAACATCCTCCTTCGTCTTTAGCTGAAAATGGTATTTAAGGGGAGTGCTCTGACCATTTTGGGAGTTACTGTTTTCCTGGGTTTCTCCCACATAAACATGTTATTAAAATTGGTTTGATTTTCTCCTGTTAATCTGTCTGATGTCAATTTAATTCTTAGACCAGCTATAAGAATTTCTAGAGGGAAATTTTTCCTCCCTGACATTATTAGCTTGATAAATTATTAAAAGTCATGCTTTCTTAGTTAATTTAGTGTTTTCTGAATTGATACAAAAGTAAGCTAGTCACTTTTATGATAAAAATTATTTTTATTTAAATTTTAGTATTTTAAAATTAATAACATAGGTCAAAGTGCTTTTGAAATAGAGCTTAAGAAATATCCAAAGCTTAATTTTTTTTCCAGCTATTTCTCTTGAATAGTATTGACCCATCTCCCCTATAATCATTTAATACCTTTTTTAAAAATTTTATTTATTTATTTGGCTGTGCTGGGTCTTTAGTTGCAGCACACAGGATCTTCATTGCCTCTTCGTTGCAGCGTGCGGGGTCTTTGGTTGTGGCATGCAGGCTCCTCGTTGTGGCATGCGGGATCTAGTTCCCTGACCAGGGATCCAGCCTGGGCCCCCTGCATTGGGAGCATGGAGTCTTAACTGCTGGACCACCAGGGAAGTACCAATGCCTTTTTTTTTTTTTTTTTTGCGGTACGTGGGCCTCTCACTGTTGTGGCCTCTCCCATTGTGGAGCACAGGCTCCAGACGCGCAGGTTCAGTGGCCATGGCTCAAGGGCCCAGCCACTCCGCGGCATGTGGGATCTTCCCGGACCGGGGCACGGACCCGTGTCCCCTGCATCGGCAGGCGGACTCTCAACCACTGCGCCACCAGGGAAGCCCCCAATGCCTTTTTAATAAACAGAAATTAATTTATTTTTCTTTGAGAAAGTGAAAACTGATATACCGTACATTTTTCTCCAAAATGTCTAAAATGAGTGGATTCTATTCAATAAAAAAGCAAGTATTTAAGAAAGAAAAACATGTGTATAAAGAAACATATATAAAGATTAGCAGAACATGAATTAAAATATTAACAATGGTTACCACTGGGTAGTATAATTAATGTGACTTTTCTTCATATCTTCTCCCTGCATTTTCCAAATTTGCCCTAATGTGCCCATTCTTATTATAAACATTTGGGAAAAAAATGACCAACTTACAAGCAGAAATCCTAGGCAACACTTTTTTCCCTTAAATAGTTAGACTACTTATAAATCCTAAGTGTAGTTTTCCCCTGACTAGGTAATGTGTGTTTTCAGCACAAGAGAGGAGAGTGAAGGGGTGACCGTAATCCAAGCTAAGAAGAGGGTGCTTCAGTAGGTACTGGGAGAGTTTCAGCATCTTCAAGTGCACATGTTTGCATCTCTGTGAAGTCACTTCAAAGATTTTATGAGTCTCAGATCTTATTCTGTTGAAATGAATTGGCTCTTTTCCAATCAACATTTTAATTCGAGGTGTTCTTTAGCTTTATAGTACTTTGTCAAGGAAGGACACTGAAATAACAAAATATTTTTATTTAGATGACAGCATGGTCGACAACTGGACTACCCAGAATTTATATGCTGATAATCATGATGCTAGCATTGCACATAAATTACAAGTTTTAAAAGAAGTGTTTACTTGGACCTCCCTGGTGGCACAGTGGTTACGAATCCACCTGCCAATGCAAGGGACACAGGTTCGAGCCCTGGTCTGGGAAGATCCCACATGCCATGGAGCAACTAAGCCCATGCGTCACAACTACTGAGCCTGTGCTCTAGAGCACGTGAACTACAACTACTGATCCTACACACCTAGAGCTCATGCTCCACAACAAGAGAAGCCACCACAATGAGAAGCCTGTGCACGGCAACAAAGAGTAGCCCCTGCTCACCACAACTAGAGAAAAGCCCACATGCAGCAACGAAGACCCAACACAGCCAAAAAAAAAAAAAATTAAAAAAAGAATTGAGCAACTAAATAAAAAGAGCCTCATTCTGGAACACACACAGGTCCCTCATAACACATAAAATGATTCCTTGAGTCTCTTTTCTGATCGATGGTTTTGTTAGAGGAAATAAACAGGAGCTCGAGGTTTGGAGGAGGGTCAGCTTCAGATAGCATGTCCTCCTCCCCTACTCGCAGTAAGATCGAAAGAAGTTACTGTATAGTTCAAGATATCCAAATGCTCCCTTGGCCATGCTGAAGCCTCTCCTGTTTCTCAAGGCCAGGAACACTGTTCTTGTACTAATGGACACCCCTGATGAGGCTCATCAGCTCACCTGTCACTCGCAGTTATTACTGCCACTGGATCCCTCATCATTGTTCTCCTTCCACCTCACAAGACTTCCCAACATCATGTGTTACCTGCATCACTGAATATTCTCATGTCCTTTAACATGGTGCTGTGACACTGGAGATGGCTATATTGCCCTCTCTGCCCCTGCACCTGGTCTGGGTGCACAGGTCGTAATTTTTTACAGACTCTAACTCACTCCTTGTCAACCATATGTTGCCACAAATGATTAACCTTACTCCTGTGAAATACTGTGGCCAAAATTCCAATTTTAAAAGGGAAATTTGAGACTATTTCATTAAGGAATTCCTACCTGTTTTTAAAAAGGCGATCAACGGTCAATGTGCACAGATTGAGATGCACCTTGAGCAAATGCTTGGGTTCCAAAAGAAAAAGGAAAGCTCACTATTCTCAAAGGTTCATAGCATAAATGCACAAAAATGTAGGAAAGCTTTGAAAAGAAACTGCCTGTGCAGAGCACTGACAGTCATCACCCCAAAATCACTGGAAACAACAATCCAAGAAAAAAACCACAAAGGCGTTTCCAGCTCCTGAAGTACATTCCATCTCCTTTGGTATCAGTGATCCAACTAGTGCCATAGCAGATTCAAATCCTACTTTCATTTTCAACATTTGAGTTGTTGAAAGCGTTTTGCGTTCAGTTTATATATTAGGTACCTGATATCTTCCTGATTTGTTTGCAGAGAATGAGGATGGACACCACTGCCTTCTTTGGGATGCAGATGGATAACTGCTTCTTTCAAGTTTTCATCTGTATTGTTGCTAATTGACAATGGAGAAAAATAGGAAAAATATTTTAAATATGTAACTTTCAGTGTTGAAAGAAGTTAGTAGCTTTCATTTTGAAATTTAGGCCATACTTTACTTCAAGTTTCTCAAATCTTTGAAGATATCTGAAAAGAAAAACCAAATCCCACATTTCAAGTCTAAGTAAAAACTTGCATTAGGAAATAATAATAAAACCATCCTATACATTGTGTCAGAAGATTCTAACTTGCTTAGAGACAAGTGTCCATACTTAAAATAACATTTCACTATTTCCAATGTAATTTTGATTAGTAAATATTGTTCACCACAATACTGTGACATTTAGTTAGGCTTCACAATGTGAATGGCTTTGCACTGCAATTTTACACAAGGCTTCTTTCTTTCCATGTAGTGAAGATGTAAAGTTCTGTTTTCTGTACCATCAATACCCACAGTTAGGAGAGCAGCAGTAGTTGTCATGAAGGTATATGAGAACTGACAGTAAATAGAAGTATTTAATGACTTTTAAATGTCAGTAATCATAATCATGCATATATAACAATAGTTAAAATTTTCTGGCATTCACCATATGTGAGAACCTGTGTTAAGTGAGGTAGAATCTATTATTTTCCCTATTTTACAGGGAAGGAAAGTAGAGTTTAGACGGGATATGTACCTTGTCGAGGGTCTCATAGTAGTAAGTGAGTGTGAACACAGGTCTTACCGATTGCAAAGCCCAGGGTCTTACCGGGTATGCTCCTCTGCCTTTGTGGGTCATTTAATCAGCACTTCACTTTACATAAATGAAATGATGAATCATACGATACCAGTACCTTTAGACTTCAAGTCTAGGTTGGTATTAGGGATTGAAGAATGGAAGCACAAAGAGTTCACTCACTCCACCACTTCCCAGTACTTCCTCATTATTCCTCTTTACACTCTCATGGAGGTTAGATGGTGGCATCACTTGAGACAAAGAGGAGACTGTGAGTCAGGAGCAAAGTGTCCACAGGATGAGGAAGGGCAACTTGAGATTCATGCATGAGGAAGCGTAGAGGGCTGGACAGCCACGTTGGATGGGTGTCCAAGGAGCAGTGACTAGGTGGTTAGGTGAGTAATGGCCTGAAAGTGGTCTTGGATGATGAGTGGTACACGGGGCGTGAGAGGATACAACCTTAGTGAGTATGTGTTCAAAGAATGGCTGTGCAGGTAGTTGATGGTGGCTAATGTGAATACAGGGTAATGCAGCGAGCCTTTACAGAGAGTGGCCTTAATAATTTTGAACTCTATGCATAATACTAATGAAGACTTCAGGCTTTATCTAAATGTGGACAAGGGGCTGTTTTGTATAGAAATTGGAGCGAATCAGAGGCAAAAACAACAGGTAAGGATTATTGGGCTCTGAATGGAGGAATCTATTATTTCTCAGTAATCAGTGCATGACTTATCTTGCTTAACATTTGTCACAAATTATTGAGGTAGTAAATACATAGTAAAATACCAAGTGTGCAGGTAAGACCTTTTTAAAAAAAAAAACTAGTGAAATGTCAAGCCAGTGAGGTTATATCACAGAAAAAAACCTTGCATGAACAAATAGGAAAATTGTCACTAAACCTTAATAAGACAGAGGCCCTTACAGAAATATGATAATTCTCTTGTAGGCTAATAACTCAAAATAGAGTGAAAAATGAGAGTTTGCCTACCATTCTCTAGAAAGATACTGACTCATTATACCAGAGTAGCTAAGACAAATCCAATAAAATAGAGGGACAAAAAAAGGATTATTGAAAGAAAGAGGAAATATTTCAACCCTGTACTATACACAGTTCTAGATACTGAAATTCAGTGATACAAAATCAGATTCAGAAATGGGCAAAGAAAATTATCAACAGAATGTGTGAAAGGGTTCATGATTTTGCTTCAGATAACTCAGACTAGAGCCTTAACTCTTAACAACTTCCCACTGATATGATTTTAAGTAAGTCACTGAATTTCTCTGCATCTCAGAGGCTTCTCTGCTTTGGGATAATACTATTATTGGGTCTACCTACTTCACAGAGTTGTTTTGAGGGCCAAAGAAGACCACAAATGGTAAAGCATTTTGTAAACAATGTTTTAGATATTGCTATTCTTACTACTAGTCTTGACTACTGTAAAAGTGGAGATCAAAAGTCATTAAATAAAAATTATTTTGAGTCCCTGGTAGGTAGGTGGTCCCTGTTCACAAGTAGCTCATTGTCTGTGGAGGGGCATAGTGAGGAGTGTAGTGGAGACCAAGAAGACAAGAGAGAATTTAAAGAGTGTGAGAAAGGACAATTCAGGGAGAGGCAGGAAATGGCTAGATTGTTTGCAAGAAGTTCTGCTGTGATACTTTGTTTTTTTTAAAGTTTATATTGGCATCCTCTGTGCATATCAAAACTACAATTTCTGTAAAGCTTCTTTAGGAGACTGTATTTGCTTAGAACGTTTGCTATAGAAAACTGCTCATTTAAAGTTCAAACTGTTTCTCCTGGATTTAGTTTGCTCATATCTCATTGACTTTGACCACACTGATTTTGTTATAATTAAATCAACTAGTACACAAGCTGTGTATGTTCTATTCCCAGTCAAAAACATTTCTTGGGCTTCCCTGATGGCGCAGTGGTTGAGAGTCCGCCTGCCGATGCAGGGGACACAGGTTCGTGCTCCGGTCCGGGAAGATCCCACATGCCGCAGAGCGGCTGGGCCTGTGAGCCATGGCTGCTGAGCCGGTGTGTCCAGAGCCTGTGCTCCACAACGGGAGAGGCCACAACAGTGAGAGGCCCGCGTACCGAAAAAAAAAAAAAAAAAAAATTTCTTTATTTAGATCTGAATCCTTGCAAGGTTTTGGCAAGTTTAAAAAATAAATGGAGTTTATAAAAGATTATTATTAGTTTTTTAAAATTTTTATTTATTTACTTATACAACAGGTTCTTACTACTCATCAATTGTATACACATCAGTGTATACATGTCAATCCCAATCTCCCAGTTCATCACACCAACCCCTGCCCACCTCCACCGCTTTCCCCCCTTGGTGTCTGTACGTTTTTTCTCTACTTATGAGTCTCAATTTCTGCTCTGCAAACTGGTTCATCTTTACCACTTTCTAGGTTCCACATATATGCATTAATATACGTTATTGGTTTTTCTCTTTCTGACTTACTTCACTCTGTATGACAGTCTCTAGATGCATCCACATCTCCACAAATGACCCAATTTCGTTCCTTTTTATGGCTGAGTAATATTCCATAGTATATATGTACCACATCTTCTTTATCCATTCGTCTGTCAGTGGGCATTTAGGTTGCTTCCATGACCTGGCTATTGTAAATAGTGCTGCAATGAACATTGGGGTGCATGTGTCTTTTTGAATTATGGTTTTTTCTGGGTATATGCCCAGTAGTGGGATTGCTGGATCATATGGTAATTCAATTTTTAGCTTTTTAAGGAACTTCCATACTGTTCTCCATAGTGGCTGTATCAATTTACACTCCCGCCAACAGTGCAAGAGGGTTCCCTTTTCTCCACACCTTCTCCAGCATTTATTATTTGTAGATTTTCTGATGATACCCATTCTAACCAGTGTGAGGTGATACCTCATTGTACTTTTGCTTTGCATTTCTCTAACAATTAGTGATGTTGAGCAGCTTTTCATGTGCCTCTAGGCCATCTGTATGTCTTCTTTGGAGAAATGTCTATTTAGGTCTTCTGCCCATTTTTGCATGGGGTTGTTTGTTTCTTTAATATTGAGCTGCATGAGCTGTTTATATATTTTGGAGATTAATTCTTTGTCCGTTGATTCGTTTGCAAATATTTTCTCCCATTCTGAGGGTTGTCTTTTTGTCTTGTTTATGGTTTCCTTTGCTGTGCAAAAGCTTTGAAGTTTCATTAGGTCTCATTTGTTTATTTTTGTTTTTATTTCCATGACCCTAGGAGATAGATCAAAAAATTTGTTCCTGTGATTTATGTCAAAGAGTGTTCTTCCTATGCTTTCCTCTAAGAGTTTTATAGTGCCC